TGTGCAGGTTCTTGGTGTCGGAGGTGGCGTTGTTGGTGAACTGCATTTGCACCGCCACCATGTTGGCGTCTGGACTGAATGGCTGTCGGCTGAAGCAGTACTCCACCGACAGACCCTCCCCTGTGATCCGGTGCAGCAGCTCATAGTTCTTCAGGGCACTGGAGGGAGCGATAGTCTGTAGTCAGAGGAGGAGATGGAGAATCATTAACAATCATTAGACTGTTTTCAAAACTTATTTTTCCGAAATGGTTGATATCAGAGTGGGTCTTCCTCTTCAAGAGTACTAATTTGTCTAATGGGGTGAAGTCACTAACCAGGAAGATGAGAGAAACGTGAAGTACTTACTGCCGGAGAGAGAACAGCGTCAGACAAAGACAATCCCTCCAGGTCAGTCGCTAGACTGTTGGACAGGAAGGAGTTGACGGGTGTGGCTTGACGAGAGGGAGCAGGTTCAACTGGGAAAAGAGATGGGAGTGTGAGAAGTATTCGGCAAAGAGTTTCATTCCTGACTTACATCATGTCTTGTAGGTACACATTTTAGTTTTTTGTAGTTTCCTGATTACCAGAAGAGTTTGCATAGTCAAGGACACCTATTACTGTGATTTTTAGAAATAACCCCAATTTGCAAACGTCCTTGTTCAATAACGTTAACTCACTGAGGTGCCTGAGGACATGAGTCACTACTGTTTCAGAGCAGAAAGCTTACAGAGATGAAAATGCTCACAGTCATCGAGGTCGAGCAGAGACATTTCTTTCTTCTCTTTCTTGCTCTCTTTCTTGACAGGCTTAGAAGGAGGCTTAGATACAGCTGCCTGAAAGGAGATGAAAGAGAAGCAGATTTTTATGTTACTGCGTGCATGTAGGGCAGTCTAAAGACAGGAATGTTTTATCCACGAGGCAGTGATAAGAATTTCATTTCTTAGATGTAGGCAGGGTCCTGATTACACCTGTATTTAACATTTTAGTGTGTTTTTTTTATGTGGACACATTATCGATACCTTTTTCTTCTTTTTGACTTCTGCCTCCGACTCAGAGTCTTCAGACTCTGATTGGCTGCTTTCAGATTCGCTCTCCTCCTCGTCAGATTCAGACTCTGAGTCACTCTTACGTTGTTTACTCTTCCTCACGTGCTTCCTCTCTTCTTCTTCACTGCTCTGCTCGCTGGAAAGGAAAGCAAAAACTCCCATTAGGATCCCAGAGTTATTATTACAAGAGATGAGACAGATTCTACTGTTAATCTACTGATTCTACTACCAAATCTGTAAAATTGGTTGCACAAGGGCACCCAGAAGAGCAGTTTATTATGTAAAGTCATTATACACCACTGAAAACATAGTTATCTATATTATATTTCATTTTTGTCAATAGATCCTCCCAAATATTACACACTGAACCTTTAAAAAGATGGCTAGGGACCTGAGGATGAATTTGATTTACCTACTAACAGAATAGAATATCATGAATTTAGTATTCACAGATCTAAAAGATCTAAAATGCAAGCAAAAGGTTGGATCCACGTTTTCTTTTTGGCTGGGGCAGTGTCCTTAATATCATGACAAAAAAAAACTCAACATAGAAGCATGTGCTACCTTTCACTTTCTTGCACTGGCTTCTTTAACTCTTTCTTTTTCTTCTTCTTGTCCTTTTCATCTTCATCCTCCTCCTCCTCTTCCTCAGTCTCAGAGCCTTCCTCACTCTCTTCACTCTCTGATCCCGACCCACTCTCCTCGCTGCCACTGCGACTTTCCGAGCCGCTGACAGAGTCCGACTCTGAACAGGAAAAAGGTCAGGGTCAGAGGGTTAGCAGGTCAGTTCATTTACACAGAAAACAGGGACGTGAAAGTCTGCCTGGAAAGTATACCCCTTATCCAGCGACAAGTGACAAGATGCACAGACAAACATGGATTTTTTACATGAACCATGAAACAAGTAAGCATTAAACAATTCCTGAAAGTGTCACGGTCAAATATAACGTAACTTCTTGATCTGTAAAATCACAATTTGTTCCAGTTTTTACTTGACATTTATCAATGGAGTAGGTCAAATTTGTATTATCTCTTGTATTACTGATACTCTAGACATCACTCTAGGCAGGTTCCAATAAAAAGAAGATTCGGCAGCACCAATAACATTTCCAGATTTTCTGTCTCTTAGGTTATACCTGAGTTGCACACACACACTCAGAAATACAATTTTATACTACACCTGTGTATTTGTAACAATGGTGTATTTTTCCACAATATTTTGATTTTTTTATTAATAATTTAGTGCTGGCTTGTATTGACATCAAAGTCAGCAAAGTAGGTTTAAGCGATGTTGTTAGTCTTTACTAAGACTAGACAACTTGTCAGACGTAAACTGACATCCAGGGTTTTATTACGTATTTTATTTCACTTACTTATATTTGACACACCAGAGGATAATCAAAAGACTAACCTCCCCAAAAAATCTTTGACAATACCAATTAGGATAGTAAGACACAGATTTGAGTCTCTTCACTCATCGAAACATAATACTAAAGCAGGAAACTAGCACTACTACCAGTAGAATTACTACAGTAGATAATACTAAAGAGAGTAAATATAATGTTGTCCTTTCAAGGATAAGACTGGTGATATTTTGTTTCCCACTGACAACAAATCCCATGAAAAACAACACCACCACCACCAAAAACAACAATTTATAAATCCAAGTTTTGGATTCTACAAATGTGTATGTTTCTGCTGCAGACAATAGTCCACAACAAATAACCTATTTACGCTTTTTATGATTTCTGAGCCTTTTTAAAAATTTAACTATATACTTATTACCACCCCGCCTCTCGCCCAGTGTTGGCTGGGACTGGCTCCAGCACCCCAGCAACCCTGCATGGATAAGCGGGTAAAGATGATGGATGGACCGATACTTATGACCAATTTTTTAAGACTTGCAATTTCAGTAGAACTAAAGAGCTTGGAGCTGAGACGCGAACTGACACATTAGTGATAGAGTGGGTCTTTTTATGTGATTTGTTGACAATAAGAACAACATTGAATCTTGGTAGCCTTATCCTTAAATAGATTTTTCTTACTGGGTTTCAACAAAAATCTCTTTCTCGCACACACAAACACATCCGTGGTGGACGCTACTCGTTTGGCTAAAAGGATGTGATGGCACCAACATAGCCAGCAGCACCCTAAAGTTACCACTGTCAGCTGACTCCGTCGGCCCAGACTCGCCCTCAGAGTCAGAGTAGAACGGCTTCTCTACTTTCTTCTCCTTCCTCTTCTCTCGGCTGCTGCATTTGGTCCATTCAGGCACCTGGCAGAGTTCAAACAGTAAGCCGTCAGATCTGCGTCAGTGACAAACCCCTCAGACAGAAGCAGAGACGTGGGCAGATTACAGTAGCATGGCCATGAATGCCTCTGCCTGGGCGTGATGCAGCCAAATGGAGCCAGCCGTCAGATCCACTTTGAGATCTGACAGTCAGAGAACAAATTCAGTACAGACACTAATGCTCATATGGAGGTTTTCTTTCTTTCTAGCACAGATAGATGTCAGCACCAGGTGATGCCTTCATGACCAGTTGCAGAAATGGTTTTCTTTTAATACAGGGAGCAGTTCCATTAAGAGAAGTGATGTCTTTGAGGAGTGTTGACTATCCTCCCACACTTTAAGAAAAGAGGCCACCCCTCTTTCTGTGACCAAATTCATTAACTAGAGCCATCAGCTAATGAGTGTGGATGGCTCTATCCCCCATTTAAAACCCACAAGGCTGCTAATGCATCTTGACGTGTCAGAGGACTGCACATCCTGCTAAAAGAATCACTTCTTTAATGGTAGAGACCGAGGAAGAGGGTGCTGTGTTTCGGATAGCTTTGGCTGAGCTAAGCACAGAACAGCAACTACATTAGGCGGGGTGTTAAAAAGCACTTGGGTTTTTGCCGCTATATGGGTTGAGGCTTAAGGAGGTGGGCTCTGTGCCGCTAACTGACTCACACTCGTTAATGTTGTGACTCTTTCAAGCAGCGTAAATACCTGGCAGATGTAGAAAAGAAAAAGATTGGGATGGAGGTGAGATAAGGAAGGAAAGGTTTTTTAGAAAAAAGTCAGGAAAGCAAGAGATACAGGCACAGGAAGGGTCTAAAAAGAAGATGTGTGAGAACAGTTTCTGCTATCAGAGACAAAAATAACCCCCCAAATTTTAATCACAGTATACTTATTTACCACACTATCTGGCAATTAGGTAGCTATTAAAATGATCAAAAGAACTCTTTAGTTTTTTGTGATTAAATTAAAACACTCCAATATAACTTAATTATACTGTATATATAGATATACTTAATGAACTAAATAGTCAACATTATCATTCTCTACTTACTGATACGTCAAGCAAATACATGACAATGCATTTAGTATAAATGTCTTCATCAGTGACAAAGCATGATGTTGCACTAGCATGAATAAAATGAGGTAAATGAAGAGTCATGCAGTAAGAAATCACATCACTCGGTTTCACACAACATTTGTGTCACTAATTTCACGTGATAATCAATTAGGTGCAGAAGAAGAAACAGTGCCTAACTGTCCAGGTGGCAAACCAGACTCCACTCAAGGTCCACTTACTCCCTTGTTCTGGGGCTTTTGGTTGTATCACTGATATGCATGCCACTTTTATCGAAAGCACTTGCCGCTCAGTCACACACAGACTTCCTTGTCCTTGTTGGCTTAAAAGTAAATGTAAATAAGTGAGTAAGTGGACCTTGAGTGGACATTGTTTTGTCAGCTGCATCAAGAATTAACTTTGTTTTCTCAGTTTTTAAGCCAACAAGTCCTAAAACATGCTCAGAATAACGAAAGAATTTTATATCATGGAAAGGCTTAACATCTACAGTTTCTTGGCACATTTCATTTGCTGATGAAGACCATGGTGAGTGGTTGAAAGTTCCATTACAAGCAAGTGGACCTTGATATGAAACTGTCAAATGTGAAGCTCGGCTTTCTAATCCCTTTGACTGTTTTTTTTTTGCTACTTGAATCTGCTTCGTCCTTAAGATTTAGCATCAGCTCTTATTCTTCATCTTCACTCCTACAATTTCTTTAAAGAGAATAAAGAATGGTCTCTTTCCACTTGGCAACAAAGACAGATATTCTGTTAATCTGCACTAATAAGTAAAATCTCATAAATCTTATCTCTTCAACTTGACAATCATCAGTGTCTACATTATGATAACCAGTGAGAGACAATAGGAGGAAAGAGAGAGCAGTCATCAAAACAAACACCACCGCACTCCCAAACTGAGTAGGGGGGGTGGGGGCACCTCTCGCCATTCTCCTAGCAAGCCGATCCGGCCCTCGCTGCTTGTTATGACGTCCTCTATCTGTGGAGATGCATAACGTGCAGAGGGAGAACGCGTGAGAGAGGTTGGGGCTTCAGAGGGGCCCTCCCAGCTTTTACAGCCACAACATGAGTGGCTGTAATGGGACACTCATTTGATTATGACCCAGAACAGTTTCTGAGCAAATCAACCTCTACTTCAAGGACCATACTGTTGATTTTACAAATGTATATTATACATCATTGCTGACCATTTCTCAAAAACACACTAAAGGTTTTCAGACTGATTCCCTACCTTCCAAGCTGTGTTTTTCTTTCAATTTAATACACTTTGAATAACAACAAGCTGAGATTTGAGACATCTTGAGATCCCACAGCCACATGAGTTCAAGAGTTCATCACTTTTAAATGTGTTATTTTGAATAGATTTTACCATTTGTGCCATTAACTCCTGGAGTGGGAGAAGTTGGATGTTTTCAATTATTTCTCCATCTTTTTTAGCTATTTCAAGGTTGCATGCTAACATGTTTTTACTCACAGGGTGCCCTGTGCTGTAGGTCTGTCATAGCTGGTATTTATTTGGTTATTGTGACAATAAATATGTTTATCATATCCCATTTCAGAAAGCGGGATTAGTGAAAATTCTGAGTATGTTGAGCCTGAGATGAGGGAAACTCTGGGTTTTCCGTTTCAGAGAGCGAGATCAGATAATCCCTAGATCAGTAACTCCGGTCACTGAGGCTGTGAAACTAACCTCCTCCCGAGGAGGTTAGGTTCTCAGGAGAAGTTGGAAAACCGTCAGTTTCTCTCTAACTCCTCCCCTCCTGGGGAGCCTGAGGCAGCTGTCTGACACACCGTTGGATTTTCTCATTCATTCTGTCGATATCAAAGCACATATCTGAACGCATTTACATCTTTAAAAACTTTAAAATCCCGGTTAGATAGGCTATTAGTTTTTTTACCCAAACATGATCTTGAACATGACCGCTTTTATGATCAATCTGTCATCGACGTATGGCCAGATCTTCGCACATCGTGGATTTATCCTCAGCCCAGAATAAAATCTATGTCCGTCTTTAGGTATAACGCTGCGACTCTGTGGACAGTTGCACTGGAAACACTTACTGTGGGCTACATTACTGCAGTAATCACTGTTTAATATGTAACCTATAAAACTGATCAATGAACAGTAGTAATCTTTCATATAGTAGTCGCACTGATTGGAACATTCGTATTTATCATGTGTTTTGACAGCATTAATAAACAGATTTTATTAATGTAAAATAGACGTCTATGACGACACATTTTCCACTGCAAAAAATAATTAATAGGCTAACCTGCTGGGTGTGACAGTGATTTTACAATCACAGGTTCACGAGTAAACTGTGTCTTATATTTGATCTATAGCCTACATATTTTCATAATCAAGTAGCCGATTGCCACCAGCATTTTATCCCGTCGGGTTAAAGCTTAATAAATATAGCCTTCCTATTTAAAATCGACTGTAATAGGCTGTAGCACTTTACTATTCATTAAGGAAATTCCAGTCTGGTAAATGATGAATGAGCAACGCTGTGTAGTAACTTAGCCTAATAATGTTAATGCATTGATCCTTCCTCCACTCCTGCGTTTTAGAGCCTATCAGGGTCCGCGTTGACACGCATTCATATTTTTAGCTCCACCCGATTAAAATGGAGGCTCTGCCTTTATTTACCTGTTGCCATGGTGAATCATAGTATCGGAGCTCCATCGATGATGGCTTTTTTCCATCCCCACGCACGTGCTTCAATCAGGCTCAACATACTCAGAGTTCATTGAACTTATTCTGATCAGCTGTTCTGGAACCGAAAATTCATAGTTTCCCACCTCAAGCTCAATCAACACAGAGCTCACAGATAAGCTCAGAGTTTGTTAAGCCTGCTTTCTGAAACAGGGCTCAGATACACTGGAGAAATATCAGCAAGGACTTAACGCATCACCTTTCAAAACACCTGAATCTGATATCCATTTAAACTAAATTATATCGTAGAATGTCACATGTTTTTGCAATTGCAAGGCCTACAGTTATGTAATTTAGGTTGGTAATTTAGAGGATTATACAGGAACAGCTGCCATGTTTATTCCCAGTCTGAAAGCTGTAAGCAAAGACCAAAACACAGAGAGTTTGATTACTCCGCTGTAGAAAGGGTTAATGTTGATGTGTGAGCTGTCAATCATCGGTTGCAGGTCCCTAAAATTACATCACAAGCTAATGAGATTTGATCCCTGCCAGACCACAATAAACCTAGTTGCAGTTATCAAGTATGTCAGAGCTTCTTTGAATGCAGATATACTGGGGGAGTTTTTCAAAACAATGCCTGCTCACAGCTGCATTTTCACATGATGTAAAACAACACAAAATCAAGAAATGGCTCACTGTGATAGACCAGCTATCTCAAGCACATTTTAACTCTCTACCGGTGATAATAACCTATTTACTTATTTAGTAGGCTAAAACATAACAAACTCCTGGTATGATCTTAAACAAGCCTGTCTCTTGTAATCTACCTGTCACATCAAAATAAAACTCATGGTACATATCAATGCACCTGTGGCTTAATTTTAGTTAGTAAATGACAAGGTAACACTAAGTATGTAACATTTGGGCAGTGAGTAAAGAAATACACACTATTGTAACAAAAAAATCAACAAATATGACGACAAAAATCAAGCCTCAAGGTCACTTCTGAAATTCAAAATCAAGTGGTTTTATGAGTTGAGTCTTGATTTTGACAAAGAAGTGACACACCCGAGTTTTGATTTCATGTCTTCATTCAGCACTCATTGTTGGATATGAACCGATGGCACATGGAGTGAATGTGATGGAGAAGAAGAGGGGGGAATTTGGTGAGTTGGGATGACGCTCTACAGAAGAATATACTGTGTACACTCAGATCCAGTGAAAAGTTTGTTTGTTCAGCTATAGTCCAGTAGAGTATAACGTGTGTTTCTAATTGAAGTTTTGGAGAATAATTACGCCAAATGAAATACACTACAGATGCATAATATCAACTATTTGCTGCATCTGTACTGACATCCTGTATAATTGAATGTGCTGGCCTCTTAAAATCGTCCCTTGGGGCAAACTCTAGCAGATACTACAGGATATGTGGTTTACTGCTGTTGATACTGATTTGTAATGGAAAAACTCCCAAGTCTGTTCCCTTCTGTATCACATGTGCTATTGGCTCAAACATCGGTGAGAAATCACCTGGATGGGGCGAGTGACCTGCTGCTGAGCAGAAGCAAGTGCAGCAGAGAGGGTGAGGAGTTCAATACCACTGACTGTTTTCATAGTGAATGAGAAGTTTTTAAATAGACACTATAATCCTCTTTTCTCCTTTGTCACTCATTCTCCTCCATGGAGTTGTTAAGCAGCATCCATTTGGAAATAGATGGTGGCCAAAAAGGATGCATGTTACTGATGAGCTGTTAATGCTAATGAGCTGAAAGTAAATGAAAGATGGCTAGTGGAATCAATGTTATATTGGAGTTAATGTTATATTGGATGTGAGGCTCTGGTGACTCGGTCCAGCCCCTCTGAGGCACTGCTCTGAGGCAGGAGCAACCCTCGCCCCCTCCACCTTTTGGGGTTCCTTGGAGACCCCAGAGGGCCCCTGTGTCTCTGTATGTTACTGTTCCCACTGCACGCACAGAATCCTTCACCTCCACGTTGCGCACGGAGGCGTCTGGGGCGGCTTCGGGCCAGTCAGGCAACTCCTGGTAGCCACCAGCCTTGGCATTCAGTAAGTGGGACAATGAACCCAACTGGAAGTGGTCTCGATCTGCAAAAACACAAGAAAAAAGGAATCCAAAATGCAAATCTGGAAGGAACATAAGGTACTCATTCTCAAATTTTTGGAACTACAGGTCCTAATAATTTGGGGGCTTTGGGTGATACACAGGAAGTACAATGTTGCCATGGAATAAGTTAGTTGTGTGGGCTACATTTTGGCAAATTGGCACCATTTAAAGTATGCCGAATTGGCGTCTAACAGTTCCTGTTTATAATGTGCCCATGGATGTGCAGACAACTCTCAATGTATTGCTTTGATACTGAAGAAGTTCTGGAGTTATTTTTTTCCCCAAGATTTCCAAGCAGATTTATGGATATCGGAGAAAATTATATCCTCAAATCGAAAAATATATGTACCATGTCTGTGTGTTCAGATTTGAGTTACAACTCCAAGAAGTTTTGATGCAAATTGCGGAGATTGGGTGCTAAGTGTTTCACTTAATATGAGCTCTGTATCACAGCCACAGCTGCAACAGCTGTTCATGTTGATAAGCGAGTCAAATCAGGGGGACAAACTACAATAACTCACTTCCTGTTGTTTTGCGCCTGTGCCTTTTACCTCACACAGTCTCTTTGCCTTTCGTCTCACCCTCTGCATCCCCCCTGTAACTCTCCTATCCCCGTGGGGAGGCGTGCCTTACAATTTGAAAACCTCTGCACTAGGCCAGTGCTGGTGGTGAAATAACTTTATTCTGGTGAAAGGAAAATTAATACTTAATTTAGTATAATCAGTTAGTAGTGACTCTCTTAAACTTGTATTTCATCAGGGGACCCAAGCACTAAATGTAATCAAGTACTAAATGAAATTGCTCAAATCATTTCTATTATCTAGATTTTTTAAATTCAGTTTTCCTTTTCCTGGAAGACATAAAAGAGATTTAAATGGACTTTTAAATGGTTTCTGTACCTTTAAATGGAGACTCGAGAACCGGTGCAGGTTTGAGGGCGAGGAACAGTTTCTTAGCGTACTTGCTGAGAGCTCCACTCTTCTCGGTGGGCACGATGAGCTGGCGAATGAAGCGCGCCCGATCACGGATGTCGTAGTTCTGGTCATACTTGGCCAAGTTGAGAACATACTGCGTCAATAGTTTGGTCTGCGAGAAGAAGGAATATTATGGACATGTAGAACGAGGACAGTAAAAACAAGAATACCTATGGATGTGATTATGTATGTACACGTGAATGTGCAAATGTGGTTGTGTTTGTGTGGTCATATGACATTACAGTGTCTAATGATGACCCCCAAGTTAGGCTGTGCGGGCATATAGGCAAGGAAAGTAAAAAAGAGGTATGCCCTTCTCTTTCTTTCCGTGTGTTGTGTGTTTCGCTGGGAGCCATGTAAATAGAAATTACAAAAAGGACTGAATGTAGAACTCGATTGACTGGAGAAGGTTCGATACTACTCAGCACTGGGTATCGAGTAGTGATACCCAGCCTTACCAGGCATGACTAAAATATTTAAAAACATAATGTTTGATTCTTACACTTGAGTTAACAGAATGTGCTGTATTAGTTATGTGTTTGCGCTGAATCTTGGCAGCACTGCACACACTGCTGAAAATGTTGTATGTAATGTAGTCTTTTTATATACTAGTATTAGAAAAGTGCATGTCATTCACACCTGTTTGGAGTTGGTGAGATAGAGCTTTGCGGCCAAATTGATTATCTGAAGCTTGACAATGTCCTCTTCGTTAGTGAACGACTTAGCCATCTTCCTCAGCACATCCGGGGCAATCTTAGGTACGTGCTCACAGTACTCTCCAATCAGCCACAGGATACTGGCCCGCGCCATCGGCACCTGAGAACAATTAAAATTAAATTAAATGGTTGTTTACATCTACCTCTCCTACTGGTAATAGACAGGGATGTAGCTCCACATCAAAAAGGGACAGTTCAAAACAGTACAACTCTTGGTTCCTTTGCTTTAACAGACACTGACAGCCTTACCTGGATGTTGTCTGTTAGTTTTGCCATGTGCTTTATGATGTCGCTGTGCTTCTCCGGTTGCATCTGCAGCAGCTTCTTAATAACCACCACTGACTCGGCTACAACCAGCTCTATACAACAAGAGGAAGAGTTGCTCATTGAAATTAGAAATCAACGTTGAATAAGTTCTTCTTCATACTAGATTGAGTTACTGAAATGAGTTCAGTTCAAATTCAGCTCCATACCTATTACTGAAGAAATGCTCTAAAACAGGTTCACATTACAAAGAAAGACTTACCATCTCGGTTGGACAGCAGCTGCACGAGGCCATTCAGACACGTATCCCTGACCTCGCCAATGTTGGTAGCACAGCGGCCAATGGCTTGGATTGTGGCAGCCACAAAGTCTTTGTCCATGCTTTTAATGTATGTCTGCCAGAAAAATAATATTCACTTACTGCAGAAATACAGTAATCATAAAGAAACGCTACTGCTGTCGAATTTCACCTTGCAGAAGTACAGACCTGCACACTTTTTGTTGATACTGTGATTGACGACAAAATTCACTCAGCATCCAAAGTTCTGTTTCACTGTACCTGAAATTCTCTGAGAATGGTGGAAATGTTCGTCTCGTTGGCCAGGTTGGTGAGAACCTCCAGCTGCAAAAGAAAATAAATAAATTAATAAACTGTAAATCACAGAGAGTTGGGGCAGAGCAGCAGGAAGACAGAGGAAAATATTTTCTCCATTCAATAAGATCCTGTTTCACCAAATCAGTGAATAAAGTTACTGTGTTTCAGTACAGTAATCATTGATGCCTGGCAACCTTCTCGTCTTTCCATTTTCTTCCTGGACTAACTTCCGCTGCTGAGATTAGGTAATTTTATGTCAACTGTGGAGGTGCCTCTTGTGGAGGTCTGCCATCATGACTGCATCGAGGTTTCTCTCATGTAACTGAGTTTAAAATGATTGAGGATCAGCAAAAGAAGCTGCTGTATGTTATATTACAGTAAAGCGAAAAGGATCGCAGCACAATAGAATAGAAAAGAACCTTAAGGACTTTTATCTGGGTTGGGTCTGTAGAGCGGATGTAGAAACTCTTCAGGTATGGTTCAAACATGCCCTGTGAAACATGAAAACAGGAAGAGAAAAAAACCCCACAGTGAAATGGCTCCAACAGCATTTGATTTCAAGTTCCACACAATCACAACCAAAATACCACCAGGTGTAACTCACCCTTCTCTTAATTGACATCGTTGCCACGTTCTGAAGAACAACATACTGGACTTCACTGGAGGAAGAGACAGAAACAAGAGAGATTGGTTGAGAAGCGGGAAGCTTCCGGGCTGAGAAGTGAATCCAATGCGCAAGTCCCATAAACCTGCATTCTATTGAACGGCCAGCAGGGGGAGACTCTTCTGGTTACTAGTTTCATGTCTTTTTCAATACAACATGATGTTCATTTAGTACATTATGGTCCCATTCAGAGGAAAATAGACCATAAAGCAGTGTATGCTACAGTGCGGGATTATCTATGATTGACAAGTAGGTACCACGGCGACCTGTCAATCAGGCGGGAGTGACTCGTACCCACAGCACTGTGTAAATTTAACCAGCGCATTTGAAAAAGCTTATTAGCAGCAAGTTGTTCACTTTCTCTGGTGAGTACATTTAGTTTTAAGACTGTTGTTCGCTAGACAAAGTTGTCAGCTCTGTTAAAATGACAGTTAATGTAAATTACAGATGCACCTAGCTAAGCAAGCTAGCTATCTCCACAAACGGCCGTTAGCTCCACTGTCTCGTCCAAATATGGTCACTTCCGGGCACTTCCTGGTTGCAAAAACTCAACATGGCGGCGCCCCATCGGCCAAACTCGAGGCTTCAAAATGGCAGTCCACAAACCAATGGGTGACGTCACGATGACTACGTCATCTTATTTTATATAGCCTATGTTCAATCCCATAAAAAGGTCAAACCCCTTTCCTTCCCTGTCTACTGGATCCGAGATTCTCTGTGGCCATAGTGGAGGTCCAGCCCTTCAGCCGATGGCTTGCCAGACGAAAGCAAAAACTAGCTAACTAGCTGGTGCTCAATTTGTCTGTGTTATGGAAATAAAGTGAGCAAGGTTCAGGTGTGATAAAGAAGATTCAGAGACTGATGAAAACTAACATAGCATTAGTTTATAGAGGAGATACAGTGTAACACATGCAACACCAAATTTGAAGCGTACTTCCTGGGGATATTTATTCTTCCTAGACTTACAGATTCACCAAGTGTCGAAATAAGGTTATTGTTCACATCTCTACACGTGTGTAAATAGTCTGTAGGTTATTGTTTCCAACCAAGACACGTTGGGTGTCATTTAAACCACATGCAACACTTTCTTCATAAAGCCAATCAGTAATGAAACAAAATAAAGGTAATCTCAACCTTGGGTTACCTAACAGCTCATCCTTATCAAGACAGCTGTGTCAGTCAGCCGACAGACAGGAGAGACAGAGTCTGACCTACTGTTTTGGAGAGTGCCTGGCTGTCACCTTTGGCTTACTTTAGCTCAACAATTGACCCTATTATGGCCTGGGGAAACCTGTGTCATAGTACCCCTAAATTCCTTTGCTAAGTCAAGTTATCTTACATCCTGTAAGCTAAGTGAATGACAAAATGATTAAGAACAAGCTCCACTACATCCTCACAGACAAAGTGAGTTTAAAGGGAAATTATGCATCAGAAGTCACAAAAGACATCATCTTCTGATGTGGTGGTTTAGTTTTGATACACCTCTTCTCCAGACTGTATGACTGTGTACCTCCTGACTACCCTAATAACATTTTGATGCAAATTTGTGCATCTCACATCTGCATTTGTTTGTAAGATGGTCTGGTACACACAAACAAGAGCAATTAAAAAATGTTTTTCAAAAACTTCAGCAGTTTTCTAGTTAAACATCCAGGTGTTATTCTTCAAGGAAGTAAACCGATGTGGCTGTAATGAGAGCTGAGACACCACTAACTCCATGCGCATAATAAAGACTAATGAAACATATCATATAGTGCAATGGATTCCTGACAAATCCCCTGCAGGGAGATGCTGCTGTTTGGTCGCTGCTGAGTGATGATCCCATTTCTGCACACCCTGAGCCACAAAAGCACTTGCTCAATTAGAAGCTGGCAGTTTGCAGGACTTACAACCAAGAGGCCACCTATGTGTCATCATCACTCCTTATGGTTTATGCTTTAATGTTTACCTCAGCCTCACTGAGCTCCCTGTTTAATTTCACTTTCTGCTTCAGGGCTATAGAAATTTACCTTACTACCCTCACTTGTCATTTCTTTTGTCATACTGTTTTCCACTTTGCTGAGTTTCATGTTCATTATAGCTTTCTCTTATCACATTCAGCTGTGTAAATATTTATTTTATTTTGGCACTTCAGCTTGTTTTGTCCCATTTCAAGTGAGACTCAAATTCACATCTTATTATTTTCAAACTATTCTCAGCCACAGAAATGTTTTGAGATAGCTTATGCTGCTGTCTTGACTACACTGTGATTAATTTTGGATGCTGCCAAAATCTTTGGTATAGCATTTTCAATAGACAATTTATTTTAAAATTATGGACTGTACAGCTCACCTATGGCTCCTCAGAAGACGGACTAGGGCCTTGGCAATCACCCCAATCTCCGCTTTAGGGGCAAGATGGAAATACAGCTGAGCCACAGCCATCACCACCTGGAATGAGAAAACAGACAGAGAGGTCACCAGTGCAGTGAAAAAGTTGCAAATGTACTATATTGGCCCTCTGGGTATTGTGTTTAATGTTTTGTTGAAAACAGAAAATTCATTAGTTCCCAAAGCAACAGTGCATTACCAGTGCATCACTGCCTTACACTGCTGTATTTTTACAGCTCTCACAAAAAAGTGAGAAGATTAAAGTTAAGAGAAATTAAAGTCTGAGAAATAATCTGTCAAAGAGTCCTTCAAGAGGAAGGGTTGTGTTTTTAGTTCTTTTAAGCAATCAATAAGCATATTGCACAACATTTAAACCTGCATTAACTGATTTTAAATTGATTTTGCAGCACAAAATTATATAAACACAATAACGATTACCATATAAAGATATTGTGGTGAATGTGTTTGCAATGAAGCAACATCAGCATTTACTTGGAGTAGTGTTTCTGGCCACATGAAAAATGTAAATAATATATCCTTTTAGCTCTGCTTTTGGCCTCCACCAACTCCCGAGGGAAATATCTGGCACTTTAGCTGCTAAATGCTCCACTATGTTCGCCAGCTTGCTGCTAACTTTATCTATCGGCTGTTTGTTGCTGTATAGGTAGCAATAGTGGATTTATAAGAGCTTTTTCAGTGAAAACAGCTGCCTGCTGTGTCTGGAAACAAAACTGATGAGAGTGGAGAGATTAAAACAAAACAGTTAAGTTATGGGCCATAAAACCAAAGCAATAAGCCGACAGACAATGAAATGCTCTGCAGAGTCATGTGATCTCTATGGATTCATCACTATGAGCGACCCCCTTTCACATTACACAAAGGAATTGGATTCACTGTTGACACATTTTTATTAATAACTGATCTTTTTGGACATTTAGAGGAAGCAAGTTGAGAACACAACATTTTCCTATCATGGCCTTGTAAGGTGATATGGCGAACTTGTTATTAAAATGAAAATATTTCTCACATTTTACATGCTTTAAGCTGTATGTGTAGTTATAGATTTTAACTTCCAAGCACATGTAAGTGATACAGTGTTTCTACAGGTTTCACCTTGTCTTTTTAAGACTTTTTAAGACCACTATGAATGAATTTTTAAGACCTATATCACCACATCAAAAAAGAGAAACGTACAAATGAAATGCAGTCCCAAAAATTACTTGCAGAGTAAATAAATTCAAAATAGGGTTGGGTGATGTCAACAATGATACATCGGGATGGACGATTACACTGATAAGCTAAGTAATTAAAAAGCTGGCATGCGGTGTACCTGCTGCCGTGAAAAAGGATCACGGGTGGGTACTCATCCCCCAAGAAATTTTTTTTTTATGTTTTCCAATAAAGAAATTCCACATGATTTTGGAACATTATTATTATCACATCTATGAATAATATGCTGGAAAATCTAGAGCAGATTTTGAACTACAGCCCAAAAGCTAAACTTGCTAAAGAAGTCTACTGGGTTTGAATTATAACCATTAGATCTGGGAAAAACATTTGGTTAGTTTTGATGCTCTTGTCACGATCCTGTCCTCAGTGCTGTGTTTTTGGGTTTTGATTCTGAGGGTTTGGTTTTGTATCTGCATGTTAGTCCTGTCATCTGTTCCGTTTAGTTTTCTGTCAGTTTATTCATTTATCAGTTAGGTATCTGTTATACATAGTCTGTTGGCTTTTGGGTGGCAGTCCTGTCTGCCTGTGGTCTTGTATCCAGTCTTCGTGGTCTGTGTTGTTCTGTTATCTTGTCTGCTTTAGCCACCCTGTCTTATTAGTTAGAATCCCTTTTGCTGTGCTGTTTGTTAAGACTTAGTTTTTAGTTTGCTTGCTACCTTTAGTGTGCACTCTCTACCTGATGTGATTGTTTATCTGATTATTATCTGTCAACTGGTGTTTAGTGGTGTTTTCCTGATTTCAGTTCTGTTCCTGTCTCATGTATTAGTTTCTGTACCATCATGCTTGAATTCTGTCTGTTTGCTAGGTGTCTATTTATGTTCTCTGCCAGTTTCATTAATCTGATTTTGATCATTCTGCTTTAGTCTCTGTGTAGCCTTGTTTATTCTATTCATCCGCAGGTTTAAGTTTACTTAGTATCTGTCTTATCTTAGTTCCTAGTCTTGTGCCTTTGTTCATGTCTTTGTTTACTTCTTGTCTGTTTACTTCTGTGTTCTATTTATTCCCAGCTTCAGTCTGTTTTCCCTGTTGTTTGTAGTTATTGGTGATCTGTCTGCTTGTGTCTGTATTAGTTTGTCATTTACATTTGCTGGTCATATAATTAGAATATCATCAAAAAGTTGATTTATTTCAGTAATTCCATTCAAAAAGTGAAACTTGGATATTATATTCATTCATTACACACAGACCGACATATTTCAAATATTTATTTAATTTCATTGTGATGATTAAAACAGACAACTAAGGAAAATCCCAAATTCAGTATCTACGAAAATTAGAATATTACTGAAGACCAATAAAAAAAAAGGATTTTTAGAAATGTTGGCCAACTGAAAAGTATGAACATGAAAAGCATGAGCATAAGCAGCACTCAATACTTAGTTGGGGCTCCTTTTGCCTGAATTACTGCAGCAATGCGGCGTGGCATGGAGTCCATCAGTCTGTGGCACTGCTCAGGTGTTATGAGAGCCCAGGTTGCTCTGATAGTGGCCTTCAGCTCTTCTGCAGTGTTGGGTCTGGCGTATCGCATCTTCCTCTTCACAATACCCCACAGATTTTCTATAGGGTTAAGGTCAGGCAAGTTTGCTGGCCAATTAAGAACAGGGATACCACGGTCCTTAAACCAGGTACTGGTAGCTTTGGCACTGTGTGCAGGGAATGAATGAAATGAAATGAAATCTGCATCTCCATAAAGTTGGTAAGCAGCAGGAAGCATGAAGTGCTCTAAAACTTCCTGGTAGACGGCTGCGTTGACCTTGGACCTCAGAAAACATAGTGGACCAACACTAGCAGATGACATGGCACCCCAAACCATCACTGACTGTGGAAACTTTACACTGGACTTAAAGCAACGTCTATTCTGTGCCTCTCCTCTCTTCCTCCAGACTCTGGGACCTTGATTTCCAAAGGAAATGCAAAATTTCCTTTCATCAGAGAACATAACTTTGGACCACTCAGCAGCAGTCCAGTCCTTTTTGTCTTTAGCCCAGGCGAGACGCTTCTGACGCTGTGTCTTGTTCAAGAGTGGCTTGACACAAGGAATGCAACAGCTGAAACCCATGTCTTGCATACGTCTGTGTGTGGTGGTTCTTGAAGCACTGACTCCAGCTGCAGTCCACTCTTTGTGAATCTCCCCCACATTTTTGAATGGGTTTTGTTTCACAATCCTCTCCAGGGTGCGGTTATCCCTATTGCTTGTACACTTTTTTCTACCACATCTTTTCGTTCCCTTCGCCTCTCTATTAATGTGCTTGGACACAGAGCTCTGTGAACAGCCAGCCTCTTTAGCAATGACCTTTTGTGTCTTGCCCTCCTTGTGCAAGGTGTCAATGGTCGTCTTTTGGACAGCTGTCAAGTCAGCAGTCTTCCCCATGATTGTGTAGCCTACAGAACTAGACTGAGAGACCATTTAAAGGCCTTTGCAGGTGTTTTGAGTTAATTAGCTGATTAGAGTGTGGCACCAGGTGTCTTAAATATTGAACCTTTTCACAATATTCAAATTTTCTGAGATACTGATTTTGGGGTTTTCATTAGTTGTCAGGAAGGAATGAACACTTGAAATATATCAGTCTGTGCAGAATGAATGTATACATTTTACAAGTTTCACTTTTTGAATGGAATTACTGAAATAAATCAACTTTTTGATCATATTCTAATTATATGACCAGCACCTGTATATTTCTCTGATATGTTTAGTGTTCAGTAACCTGTGTTAGGTCTGTTCCCCCTCAGTAATCTGCCTGCCTGCCAGCTGTCTCTCTGCCTGCCTGTCTAGTCAGTCCTGATACCTGTCACCTGTGTTGCTCCCGCCCTGCTCGTTAGTCCCTGTGTATAAATGTTTGGTGTTTCTGTTCATAGTCACTGTAGCGTGTATAGGTTCTGTTGTGTCTTCTGCCTGTTCTTCTGCTGTTTAAGTCTGTTGGATTTTGGATGCCTCCACTGCCTGTAAGCCTGAGGTCCTGCTTTTGTTGAAATCCCTGAACTGCATCTCTGCTCCAGTGTCTTGCGTTTGGGCTCTCTCCTGTTTGCACTTCATCTCAGACTCGTGACAGCTCTCCACAATAATTTTACATTCGTGGTGCAGCACCAAGCAGTTTGAGCCTCACCACCTTATAATGGCAGGCAAACACTGTTAATATGACCTCAGAATTATTACACATAGGTCTGTTAATGTTTGCCTTTTGTGTCTTAATTTACTGCTTTATACATTTGTAGAAATTAACATAAATAGGCAACATGAGATCTACCTCCCTTCTGTACAATTACAAGCATTTCATTTGTACATTAAAATCCAAAAGTATAATCTCCTCATTAGCTTAAAAGAACTAGTTTGCATCCCTAATTTGCTTTAACGCTACTAACAACAGCTCTTCTGTGGTCAACACCGTCCTTTCTTTTTCATTTAATTTAACTATCAAGATGTACAGGACAGAGCTGTAACCTGACAACTTAATGCTTATCTTTTCCTCGCTCTCCCACACATTCGCTCGTCCCTTGAAGAATGAGGAGAGGGAGATAGCTATGTGACTGTTACCGTAGCTTACTGAAAATCATTAATGATCATATGAAATTTTACAGTAGGCTTCAAATACGTTGCTAGCAAGTGTTTCTGTTTCTTTCAGTCAAGAGTCACTAAGGTTTTTCCGTCTGTGGTATAACCCGAAAGAGACTTGCGGCGATAACACGACTGCATTTTGGTCTTTGTAGTCGTAATACAGCAAATTATATTTGGACTAGTGAAAGAAAGAACTGCAACACCACGGGAGGAAAAAACATTGAGCGCTGCGGGAGCCTTTCATTGAGCAACAGAGGTAGCGTTACATACGACGTTGGAAAATTAAGATCTGTTTAAAATTATTTAAGACCTAGAACACAAACTTAAGCAAATTTAAGACTTTTTAAGGCCTTAAATTTTGATTTTGAAATTTAAGACTTTTTAAGACCCCGCGGAAACCCTGTGATATTTTCACCACAGGGATTCACTAGAGAACAGTGGGTAAAATAAGAGCTTCAAACAGGCCCACAATAATTTATTCAAAGACATCAAGGCAAAGGGAAGACAGATATTCATTATTTAAAACGGTGCTAAACAATGAGCTGCATAAAGCGCAATTACAATGCTCACTGATTGGCTGCTTTACTACATGTAAGATAAGGAAGCACATTTGTTGCCTTAGGGATGGAGTTAATCTTAAACCGCCTTGATGTAACCAGCTTGACTACAGCAGTACAAAGGCAGAATAATGTGTGACGGGGGAATTTCACAACATCTTACATGGAACAAAACAGGCCTTCCAAGGTGACCACAGCAGCACTAATGTAGTGTGATGCTTTATTAATTTCCTTCGGGAAATTATCACTTGTCCCCGTTTCAGAGTGAGAGGTCAGCTCTGATTGTGTGTCCCTAATTGTGTGTTTCGCTCAAGGACACTTTAGCTGGACGGCAGCTTGTTAACATGAGGAAAACTTGTGCATTTGAAGGCCCTGACTGCTCACAACATCAACCTGCTGCTCAATGTAGAATAATGTCAGAGAGAAAATAATTATGGTCTCTACCATGGCAAGTGACTCAAAGTGAGAGTTAGTGAGCAGTGTCTGATATAAGGTGTGTGCAGTGGTCTCACAGCTGCGTTGCGGCTCTGCAGGAGCGGCTTGGTGTTCCTCAACAGCAGCCGGTGGTCTGGATCCATCACATACGGCTTCCTCTTGGCCATGGCTGGAGCCTCTGACTTCTTTTCTTTCTCCTCCTCGTCCTCGTCGTCATCTTCTTCTGAGCCATAGAAGGTCTTGTCCCCACCACCTCCCTCCTCCAGAAGGGACTCCTGCAGAGACAGTGGGGATGTAATAGCGTGTTGGGAAACAAACAGAAAGACAGAAATCTCACTTGCATGGAAATCAGTTATTGGCTGCTTAAGTCTCAAGAAGTCACCAGATGGTCATTTGCTCTTGAATATATTTGTTAAAAAGTGGCAACTCTGTATGAGAAGCATCATTAAACCTCCCCACATTAGACAAACATGGAGCGCAGAAAACTGGTTGTACCAATTTGTCACCACATGCATGGGGAATTACCACAATAACAATGTTCAACACGGCATGAAAATTGCTCAATTTGTTGCTGGTCACTAACAATAAAATAAGTTGACAGGTGGGTCTAAAAAACTGATAATGGCAGAAAAAAAATCACCAAGTTGGCAGTGGTGAAAGAGAAAAATAATGATAGGATAGTTTCAATTTGTACCTCTGCACAGTCACAATGACAGAACTGGAAGAATATAATTAATCCACCAAAATAAAAGTTATTATTGCACCAATACACTTTTGTTGCACAGTAATCTCCCAAAATCCTGTTAGTATGCTAATTAGTTATTGTTGACAACACAACAAGTAAACTTACTTCTGAGTTTTGTTAGTTTACATGGACTCTAATAATAAATAAATAAGTAATATACACATACAATTATACAATATACAGTTACAGTACATAGTATTTTATGTGAACAAATTCCTATAAAGTGCATTTACTGATTAGTCAATTGACATATTGATCGACAATTGATCATCTATTAACCAGGCGTGTGAGGAGATCTCGTGCCACGATATTTCTCTTCAAGGTGAAAAGACGTCTTACCAAAATTAGCATAGATGATGCGCTCACTACATTTAAATCGTTTGTAGGGCAGCATTTTGGGTTCCCGGTGGAAAAAAACAGCAACAGAGTGACAGTAACAATATGTAAGAAACATTTCAGAATACACCTGTATTGTTTTGCATTCTGTGACTTTAAGTTGAATAAAAGACAATTTTTCCAGTCATATAATACGCCATTGAAGATTTCTTTAAAGTGTTAAAATATTGGCTCGTCTTGTTCATGTGAACCCAGTAACGTGTACCGTCTTGTCTCATGAGCAAAGTATATTGTAACATCCCTACTATTAACTTAAGTCAATTATCAGGGAAAAATCCAATAACAAACACTTGATTTGCTGCTTTTCTGTGTTTTATTTCACTGTAAAATTACTTATTTTAGTTTTTTGGGGCTGTTGGTCAGACAAAAGAAGTTATATAAAGACATGGCATTGGGCTCTAAGAAGTTGTGATGAGCATGTTCACCATTTTCTGTCATTAAAGACTTAATTACTTATCAATAAATCAAAAAGAACTAAATAATGCAACAGAGTAATCGTTAATGAAAAATACTGTTAGTTGTTGTCCTAGTTGCTAGTTTAACTTATTAAACTAGTGATCTAAGAAGGCTACCATGAGTCACCATGGAATAAATAAATAAAGCTGATCAACTAGTGAGCCAGTGAGCATTGGTTACACTTTTATAAACTTTTAAAATTTTGGGGACTGTAGTGATTCTGTATGTGTTTCTAACTCACATTGATGTTTGGGTTAAGGAACTGGGTCCTGGCGTAGCGGGTCAGCATGTTGATGATGACGACCTGCCCCCACTCCTCCACGTCAATCAGAAGGTTACACAACTTCCTGTAGTTTTTGTGGATCAGGTCAATGCGCTCCGGACACACCTCCTCAAAAGCCATGACAACGCTTCCTGCCACCAGCTGCAGCACATTTTTAATCATAGAACAGGTGTTGATGATGTTAATAATTAATGTTGTTAAAAAACCTTGTGCAGGAGAGTGCACTCTGAGATTGCATCTTAGGTTGAACAGGAAACCTATAACGGTGAAAGCCTATTTCTGTTTTTGGTATATTTCCATTAGAAAATCCAACAGTTTGTGCAAAAACTGCATTGTGAAGAGGGAGACTGGTTAAACAAATAATAAGCCTTGAAACAAGTGAAGCATTGAATCCAAACTGGTGCTCTGCACAGAAGCTGGTCCTGATTATTTATCAAACTTGTATTTGCATTTTTCAAAAATCTGGTGGAAAAAATACTGGATCAGTAGCGTAAAAACCCACCGTGGTTTTATCAGCGAGGAGTTTCTCTATGACTTCAATCAGCTGGTCCTTCTGTTCTGGATCCAAACTGAAAGAATAAATCATTCAATCGCATGAAATAAGAAATGTTGACAGTTAGCAATCATTTGTTCTTAAAAAATCACACTCTTGAGTATAAAACAAATGGATTTTACTGTCAGAGCAGTAATGGAATTCTGGAGGATGTACCTTTTACTGCCATAAAGGGCTTTAATTTCACAATGGCAGTGAGTCATGGCAACATTTGATCTTAGCCTAGTGGCTCTCAAACTGGGTCTCAGAACTCTCTATTGGGCTGTAAAGTGAATAAGAAATTCTCAAAAACAGATTTCTGACTGACAAATGTATTATTTATGCTCTTTTAAATCACTGTTCAAGCCTCTGTTCAACCAGTAACATCTATAACTAGTAGGCACCTTCCACTAAGCACTTATAAGGTCCTCCTAATAAGTTGTTACACAAAGTTGTTGATATTATCTAAAAAAAGAAATGATCATATCATGTCAGAGTTGACAATGTTGTCTTTACAGCCAACTCGGGGAATCACGAATAGTGACAGTTTTGTAATTGGGCCTTCGGTACTGAAAAAGTCTTGGTAGGTCACCTGTAGAGTTTAGGAATTGCGTGAGCAGCTGTCTTCCTGACGTATGGAGACATATCAGAAGCAGCTTCTTTGATGGCCAACATCATTATGGGTACAATGATCGTGACTCGGATGCTGGAGAGGACTCGCAGAGCGCTGGCTCGGATCAGCTGGTTCGGATCCTGCAAAAGTACCGAGCAAAGCCTGTTGGCATGCTAACATTTGCTAATAGCATTAAACACTTCATACAGCTCAGGTTGATGGGAATGTTCTGCAGGTATTTGGTCATAAACCAAGGTATTGGACAAATTAACATTTTGGTCTGATGATGGTGCTAAACTGGTATACCTTCAACCCTCGCTGAAACGTGGATATGGAGAGCAGAGCGAGATCTTGCTGCTCCTCGGCATAACGCACCAAGTATACATACACCAGCTTCTTCACCTGTAGGGAGGAGCAGTAAGAGGGACACAGGCCAATGAAAAAATGGGTTTAATCCAAATTATGTAGATTAGTTCAATTATTTTCAGAGATAAATCTGAAGTGAAGAGATGGAGCAAACTGATAAGAATCTTAAAAAGAGGAGTGGAAAATGGCAATTTTGTTCAGGTGAGATAAAGCCAAACCCCAAGGGGCTTTTAAAAATGTGATAAGATCATGTACAAATTAGAAGCAAGCTAAATAAAGAAACGACTTAATAGTGAAAGAAAAAAAATTTACCACATAAAACTACACAAGCTGAAGAAATGGAGCAAATAATAATAAGGAAAGCAACACTGGGTTCAGTACGAACCTCAATGTTTTTACAGGCCACGTTCTTCACCACAGCAGGGAAGAGATCTGATGCATTTTTACCTCGGGCGATCATCTGCAGAGAAAACACACAGCTGAAAGCAAAACAATCTGCAATGTGAATTTCACAGGTGCAACTTTTTTAAAGTTTTATTCCAGTTCCTTCTCGTACTTTCCCTCCCTTTCATTTTCCCTCCTCGTAATGAATGAAAAGCTGGGTGTGGAGCTTCAGAAAAAAGAATCTGACACAAATTATTAATATTTAACAGCTGACTGCGCAGTTTGTATCTCTTACCACTATAGCTGTGTCATCTAAAACTGCCTTTTTCTTGCAGCTGAAGGATATTAAATCTCTTAGTTTCAGGATCTTAACTACACTTAACTATGTGATCTGCATCTCTCATAGCAGCATTGTTATACGGAGATCTTTATCAACAAAATTATGACATCAAGTTGAGTACAGAGGACAAGTTTTGGGTCTTTACGGTTGTCCGACTGAAATTTAAATGCATTTTGTGATGTACATATTAGACGTTTTTTCTCAAACCTTTCCATGCCTTTGTCCTTTCCCTCAACATGCAGCGGTACCTGCCAATCAGTGAATGCCCTAAGTAAACATTATTTATACTCACAGCCACAATCCGCTTCATTGCCTCCAGCTTCAGGGAGTCTTTGTTGCTGTCCAGCATCTCCTTCAAGTCATCATGTCTGAGAGAGAAAAACATTGCAACTTAGCTCACAGCTTGGTTTTTTATTTTTTATTTTTTTTACAATATAGCAAAACTCTTATTACTAAAGGCCTCAAACAAGAAATACAGATCTGTTTTACAATTTCCATTCAATGCTCAAAATGTTTCAAAGTCTGTAAGTCTGACCCAGAAATTATTCTCTTTGAAGTGGGAAATCAAACTTGCAAAATATGGAAACCTTTGAAACTGTAGCTCATAAAAGCAGGGTAATTGGAAAGTGGCATAATCCCTAAAACATGTTGATGTCTCAGAGAGAGTATTTTTGCTGAAGATGTGACCCAGTGCAACTGTAAGCCTTTGGGTCTATTAGTATCATACAAGCTCGCTTCTTTATTATTTAGGTAACTCGATAACCAAACATTAGGCTATGAGAAAAAAGATTTTAGTGCTGACACGATTAGTCCATAGACAGAAAATGAATCAGCAAATATTTTGATAATTCATTAACTGTAAATTATTTATCAAGCACAAATCCCAAAGAGTGCAACTTTATTTCTTTTTTTATACAATTTCTGACATTCAATCGATTAATTGTCAGATTTGAGAAGTAACTCCATTACTGATTACCTGCTTGTGGTAATGTACTACATATATATAAGCATATTGTATCTTATCTGTATCTTATCTACAGTTCCCACTTTAAATCACACAATTTTACATATAAATAGATCATTTATTCAGAGTTCAAAGTTCTTGTCTAGCCGCTAATGTTTAAAAAACAGTTTTGGCTTCCTTTTTGTCCTTTGAGCTAAATGCGAACATCACATGCTAACATGCTCACAATGACAATGTTAACCACTTTTCTCTTTATACATCCATGTATTAACCCCCTGATGTTTAACAGGTATAATATTTAGCCATTGTCGCCATCTTAATTTAGCATTTTGACCTGCTGTTGGAGCTAGATGAGAAATTAGGGGATCACTAAAGTTATTAGGATTCATGCTCTGGGCATCATGCATAGTGCTCAACAGCGACCACCAACTTTTCGAACGGCTACGGTTCTGGAAGTGAATTTCCTATTCATTCACCCCACTGACCTGATCCTTGTCAGAGATGATGGGAATTCACCTCACACATGAAAAGAAGGGTCCTTTGAGTGGATCTAAGATGACATCTCCACCCTACAGCAATATAAACAACTCTGACAGTTTCTACAAAACCTGCCAGGCGGAACCTGCAAACAGCACTGGTGAGTGCAGACGGGATCCAAGGCTGAAATGCTAATCAATAAAATTTTCAAACTGCCTAAATATCTGTTCTGCTGCTCCCTATTATCAAGTAACAAAATGCAATAATTACTTCACCTTCTTCCAATTCATGAAAGCAATAGTGGTACATTTCATATTTTTAGTTAGTTTGTTGCTTTAAAGTAACATATATAACTGCTGATTAGGACATAAAATGGTACTTGTACACCCATAAACATTTAATCAAAAATCAACCCTTAATCTATATCGACTGCACGCAGACTACATATATAAATCATGCTTCTAAGATAACGTCCATCATTACTGCCCCAAACATATAATATCATGTAATGTGCATCATTTACACTGATATAATGCTTGGAATTTGATGAGGTGAAAATATATGTTGTATCTAAAAAACCATGTGGTATGACAACATTTATGTCCAATTGTTATAAACAACACCACCAACTCACTAGTTCACAACTGCTGTAGTTTCCATGTGCAGCCTATGTGTTGGTGTCAGTTTGCCAGCTTATATTCATAAACAAAAACTTTAAAGTAAAAACTACCAAACAGTAAGTGTCCACTAACTGAAAGAGTCAGAGATTAAATTTGTAATTTAGAGGTCTGGGAATTAAGGGTGGGGTTTGGGTTTGGGAGATTAAATAACTGCGGAGGCGTACATTTCCCACAACTAGTTACCAAGGCAACAAAGGATGCAATAAAATAAAAGTTAAGTGATTGCCTGCCTTCCTGCAGTGTCTTTGTTGCATCTCAGTTTTGCATCAATTTTCCACGAGAGACTGAAGGTCTGTGGTGCTGAGCTGTGGAAACACAGTGAACTACTCCTGGGATTATGAGCTGCTATGAAAAGAGGACCGTGGCTCTGTTTCATGCTCCACACACTGGTATTTAAGAGGAGTTACCTGGTGGATACAATGCAATTCAGTCACTGGGTGGTCTTATATAAATGTAGTATATGCAGCGGAAGAGTTTCCTTGAATTACGGTCTCTGCTTGGTCCACGCATGGCAACCTCAGTATTCACTGCTTTGCTCGGGGGCCCGAATGCTGATATGTTGTCAGGGTGTCTGAATATTTGATTAATTGTGGTTGCCTTTTTTGTTTTTGTTTTATATGACTGGAAGACTGAAGACTGAATTTCCCTACGGGGTTGAATAAACTTGTTTGAATTGAGAAGAGGTTTTGTTTTTTTGTCCTGTTTGTTAATTTTGTTCATTAGCAGGATATCTCTAAAACTACAAAAATAATTTCAGTAGTGGAAAGTTCAGGCCAAAGAAAAATAGATTTTTTTCGGTGTGGATAGAGTCACCAGGTGCCTAATTGCCTAATTGTGTTGCATGTTATGGTTTTGTTTTGTAAGTCATCCTTTCTGGCGTTTTCCGACAGATTTGATTGTCTGCCCCAACCTGATTAGTTTCACCTGTGGCCAGCCTTTCCTAGGGTTTTGTTCTCTTTGTTTTCTTGGATATTGCCTGTTTTTGGATTTTGCCTGCTCCTGGTTGGTTTTCTCTGGTTTTGACCTTTGCCTGCCTCATCATCCCCGTAAGCCCGTTGTTAACAATTCTCTTCTTGCACAGCTGTGTGACAGCATATTGGGATGATCCTGAAAAAAGTTTCACTGGTGTTTTAATGTACATCATAGCTATATATAAATGGACATATGTTAATAATCACATGTCTTAACTTCTTTAAAATGTGGCAGAATTCATCTTTGTATAAAGTCCTAATTTACTGATTTGAGGTATCCTTACACAAACTTCTGAAATGTGTATTTTAAAGCTGATGCAGATTTTTAAAAATCTAAAGATTTTCTATAAGTAAGTAATAACAAATTTAAAAGATTGTGCAGCTCTTACATGTTCTGAGTACTGCTCTTTATACTTTACTGAAATGTAAAGACTACTTAAACTAGTTTGACTGATGTGCTATTTACATCGTCATTCTACATATTACAGAAGTTTTACATCATTTACATCATTCCTCTGTATGAGTGGGAGGTTGTTGGGGTATACTGTACATTTCATCCGTTTTGGTCATGTGAGAGCAGTGAATGGAGGCCTTACAGTCTTTGAGGAGGAGGCTACTGCAGAACACAATAGATTTGTGCGTGCGTGTGTGTGTGTGCGTGCGCGCAAGTGTGTTTCTGTGTGCGATGAAAGACTTTCATCTCCATCAAGCATGAAAGTGTTAAACATTTCATCACATGAATAATATAGTTAACTCTGTCACACACTTCAAACCCTAAATTCATCAAAGAGTGTCAAATTAAAACCTGACAGTATCTATAAAATTCTGTTTGTGACGGATTATTTTTGGAACCCGAGCAGTGAACTGACGCTGGTTTCTTGGTAACAAATATGGCTGTGTCCAGAAACAAATTAAAAAACAAACTGAAAAAATGCTAAGATAACTTCCCCAAAGCACTGAAAGCCCAGACATGAGGATGAGTAACACTCATGCTGATTTCTAGCAAAAACGAAGGTCCCACTGGTTCATTTCTTCCTGTGAAATTGTGATGATGGGTCGCGGCCCCTGGGCATGACTCCAGATATGTGAACATTTTTATCAACTCACAGCCTGAGACCTCAAGCTGATGTCAACTTCTGAATCTGAAGGGTTTTTTTCTTTTTCAGTGACTATACATAAAGACAAAATATTAAAAGAAAAGCCCAAAAACACATTTTAAAAAATCAGCAAGTGGTGATAGGTATTAAATTTCTATGCCAGATTTGTTAATTGGATATATGTGTGTGTTTCTTATTCCTGTTAATAACTGCTCATATGTAGATGCCATATAGATGCAATGCAGTTATGGAATTATATCAAAACAAGAGTCAACAGTCATGCTTAAAACTAACATCAGTATGCTAATATGCTCACAATGACAATGCTGACATGCAGATGTTATGGCATTTATACTGTTTTTTCATCTTAGTTTAAATCAGCTAACTTTTGCTAATTTGGGCTGGGAATGTCTCTAGTTTAACAGATAATTAAATCAAACTATTGGACAAATTCAAATATTTAACTGATGTTGTTCATCAGTTAAATATCCTTCATCCTAACCGAGAGACATCCTACTCACCGAGAGACCTACAGCCACGCAATCATGGCTAAAAAATTTCAGTAAATCATCATTAAGCAAGGGCATCACATTTTGTCCTCTGAGCTTCTTTCAAGACTCACAATTTTGCGCTGATATTCAGAAATCACACGTGAAAGAATCTGACTGTAAAAGAGGCAAATTTTCTGTTGAGAACAGCCTCATTGAACCACACTGCTGCAACATGATGTTGCTCTGACCTTATTCTTAGTATCTCACTCTCACTCTCTGTCCTTACATGTAAGACAGCTGAAAGCAAAGAGATCACATCATTTCTCTGGAGGTTATCGCATTCTAGGAAACAGAAAGTCACTCACTAAATTATGATTACAGGCCAAAACTGACAGGTAAATTGGAGAATTTACCGGACTCTATCAATGTTTTAACTGCCAAAATGTGATGGTTCGAGTTAAAGGATGGCTTTAGAGTAAAGAAACTTTCCAAAGAAAGACTTAATTTGTTATACAGCTTGTGTCTATTTACCACCTTGATTAGGCTCGCTAATTAATAAAGTGATAAGGATTCATGTGGCTTATTTGATGACAAACGGGCTTTTTGTAGATATAATGAAAACTGGACCTGAAAACATTGATTACATTTGCTGTGACGCTGGCCAAACAATAAATCTGTCAAAGTGGAA